TAACAGATCCATTACAACATCGCTGCCGCTCAGCAGCTCCAATCAACTCAAGCCAACAAACATGGCCGCTCCAACTTCACGTCTTTCGCCGCTGGCGAACAAGTCCTCCTCCACAAGTCGGCGGTACCCGCCCATGCATTCGCACCCGTACGATTGGAATGTCCTCCAACGTCAAGCTACGCAGTGCTTGGCACGACCCCTTTACCGTCCTCCGCGCTGCCAGTCCAACCAACTACAAACTCGATCTGCCCGACTCATGGCAGATCCATCCAACATTCTACGTGAACTCAAACGGTATTTACCCCCATTATCTACGCCCGATGAAGCGACGGCAAACGATCCTCTGGATCCCGCGGCGGCTCTTCTTCCTCTTCCGCCGCCATCGACTTCTCCTCCTCCGAAGGAGCCCCAGGCGTCACCACCCGCAACATTGGCGCCACCACTTGCTGTGGCGCCGCAACCACCCGCGCCCGATAATCTGCGGCTGCTTGCCGCTCCGCCGCTGTCAATTTACCATCCCGCCCCGGCGGCGGATTGTACGCCCCACATAAGGATTCGCCGGCCGTACCACCGACAATCGCGCTGCCACGTGCGCAGCCGTTGCCTGTATCTGCGCATCTTCGCGCGCCCACGTCGAGGAACTCGCCGTCGGCGAAGCCCATATGCTCGACCAGGCGCTCGTAGGGAGCACCGAAATCCCGCTTGGCGACAACCGTGCCCCTTGCACTTGCACTTGCGCCGCCGCCGACATCGCCGCTTGCCCCCTAGGTGGTGAGCGCCCCGACATCCCCGATTGCCCACGCGACCGCGATCGTGGGATCGCGATGGACAGCGACGGGTCGGCAGTTCGCTGTGCGAGTCAGACCAACTACAACTTGGCATTTAGAGGATTATATCAAGCAACACTTACCTCAGGTTCGCGGGTGGCGATCCGCGCGACAGACTGAGCGTCGAAACGCCCATGCTTCTGTCCATGCCGCCCACTGCCTTGTCCGACAAGCGTCTACACAAACGCTGCAAGGTACTCAAGCATTGTTTCATCATTGCAAAGCTCGATCCGCCCCACGTCCACAGTCCAGCGCTCCAGGCGCCCCCGTTCATGCAACTAACACATGGCACCCTTGAACTCATCAAACCGGTGAAAACTCACCCTCGCCAGCTACATACATTCCACGGCAAGCAGCATCCACAACACCTGCAACTCAAACGATTGGACGCTTACAAACAAGCGCAGGTACCGTTCCACACCGGCAGAATTGGCCGTCTGGTATCTCCAATCGTCGCGAGATTCGTCGAACTCGCCCACGACTGTCAAACAGCGCGTAACATCGCGCACGTACCCCAAGTCCACGCCACCTCACACGGCAGGCGTGAAGATCCGAGAGCGATCCCAGTGGAACGCCAACTCTCGCTCGAACGCTTCGTCTCGGGCGAGGCCGGTCCGCTCCGGTCCACCAAATTCGGCTTTCGCATTGGATTCCGTCTTTACGGAGGCTCCCTTGCCGCTCGCCTTTCCTTGCTTTCCCCCGACGCCTGCAGCGTTGGAATGTCCCCCATCACCTGATGGTGTCCCAGTCACACCTTACTCGCTGCTTCTGCAGCCTCCTTGACTGCATTGTCAGCCGCTGCCATCGCTTTGGCCTCTTCGGTGCGCTTTGCCTTAGACTTCACCACTTCAGCTGCTCTTGCCCTCTTGGCGGTCTGCTCACGTACCAAGTGCTGCTCAAGCAGCTTCTACACACCTTCGTCGCCCACTGTCTCATGGCGCTTTTCACCAAGTCTGCAGCCGCTTGCTACTCAAGCTATTCGCGCTTCACGGCCGCCTTCGCGTCCTCCCTCGGTGCCACTCCGTCGTCGTCATCCGACTCAGCTATGACGTCCACTATCTACACTTGCTGCTCCGCCGCTTCAGTCTCTTCCACGTTGTCGTCGACGTCCTCGGCGATTCTTGCCTTCGTCTGCCATCTCCAATCTTAACTGTCACGTCACAGTTCCTTCTCATTTCTGACCACGTGATGATGGCACGTTCTGTCTAAGTAGGGGATGGTGTAACCGTGCCCATCATCGTGTTCCCAACTGGATGACTAGTCGACACCTCTTCAGTCCAAAGTGTCCTTTTGCAGACCAACATGTCTTCTTGCGCAACCCAGGAGTTCTTCCGACGATACATCAATGGTTGGTTGCGCATAGCTTAGTGATAGCGTGGTAGTCTTAAAGCTATCAATTCGTTCTTGATCCTATGCCCCAACGCTAAACTAACTTCGCATTGCGACATCTACTTTAGAGACACTTGGGCAAGGATAGCGCGCCGCCATCGCATGGTCTAGTTTGGCACTACAATAAAACACCGCGTTTGCCGAAAATCCATCGACAAACACCCCTGTTAAGCCAACCATGCTCGGAAAACCAGCCAAAAAAACCTGTAATCAAACTGAAACCATACGATCCATAAAATCACCTCTAAATAGTGCATGGATTTACTAAAAAGAGTGGTATTGTGCTTTTCACATATTTTGCCCGTTGTTTTAGCTCCTAAAACCATCCAAAGTTTAACCTAAACTGAAGTTGCACTCGACGTAAAAGTAAGCTTCCCCACCGTTCTGTCATTGGCTGATCTAAAACTTGCGTTGTTTTACTAAAACTACTT